TATCATTCGATCACTACATGACTAGCTGATACAACACCATATAGCATGCTATCATTCGATCACTACACGACTAGCTAATACAACACCATAGGGTGCTATCATTCGATCACTGCATGGCTAACTGGTACAACACCATAAGGCCATGGACCCCGGAAAATGAGAAACATAATTCTTTATTTATTTATTCATCATATGTATATGAATTTTTTATTCACTTCACAATTTCACGCTACGGCATCCTCTGAAAAACTATGCCCCCCCCCCACGGAAAACTTTCTGCTGACACCCATGCATAGGGCGCTATCATTCTATCACGTGCATGACTAGCTAGAACAACATCATATAGCATGATATCATTCGATCACTGCATCACTAGCTGGTACAACACCATAGGGCCATGGGCGTCTACAGGGAGGGCAAGAGGAGGTATTTTCTCCTTGGAAAACTTTGCCCCCCCCCCACATAACTTTCTGCGGACGCTCATGCATAGGGCGCTATCATTAAATTCTGGCGTTTCAGCTGAAAAAGAATGGAAAGCCGTTGTCCTGCTGATTACCAATATGTTATACATTTCGTCAAAAGAAAAAAAAAACAACAACATCAATTTAAAGTTTCAGCTGTGATCATAAAGAAGTTCCATTATTTCTCTATATTTCAATGTAAACTCCTTTCTTCCAGTTTTATGGACTTATTTCTTCTTGTACTGAGATACAAAAAAATTGCGAGTCACGAAAGAGCTGTGGCATTAGATGACAAAAAAAAAAGATTTTCTGAACACGTGTCTGAAGAAAAACAAAAACGTTTATTATTATTTTTTGTTTTCTTCTCATCAAACGCTCTTCATTAGCTATACCTGATAAATATTAGATTAAAACTTCATCTGTGATAAAAGAAATATCCCAACTGTCGGTCATATTGCTATAATAAATCTATCTCTGAGATCCATTCTTCTTTCACCTCTGTCAGTTACAATCTCTTCCTTGTAGGGCCAGGCATGACCGAGTAGTTAGCGTGAGGGGCTGCGGATGGGTCCAAAGTTAGTTACGTGATGCTGCTAAACAATCTCCGCATTTTCACCTGTGGGTGCGTTATAAAAGTGACGATCAATCCTATTAATTGGTTCAAAGAGTGGAGCAAAGCCATTCTGGCAGCTGGTGTTGCTGGCTGGCTATTCTTCTTCTGGTCAGTAGTTCAAATTAGGGTTAACTGTATGTTAAACCTAGAAGTCCGTTATATGACCGTTTAGCCCACTTGCGCACAAGGTACCACTCAGGTTGAAAATTCCAGGTATTTCTAGTTTTCCTTTATTCTATGATGATTGATAATTAGTCTTGAAACTTGTGGTCATGTTCTTGAATTTGTAATTAAGTACTTTTTTAACAAATTTTGAATTCAGTTCTTTGGGGACTGACATGTATTTCTAAAACTTACTGAAAATACCAACATAATTATTTCTTCAAGTTCCGCAATTCAACATGGCATTTCACTGAATTTGACAAATTCCAGGATTTAAAACAGGTTTTAAGTTCAAAATAACCAGAAACCTAACCAAGACTAATTTTCGTATCCCATCTTAACCGTTACGGGTTCTTCTATGAGCCGTAAAGTTGAAGAAGAACCTACCATGGAGCCCGAAACGTTGTCCCAGCACAAAGAAAAGTAGCAGTAAATGTCCAAAACAATTTGAAGAAACAAGTTGCACAGCTCATATGAACATTGATATTACCTATATCTATAAAAATGTCAAGAAACAAGTTGCACAGCTCATATGAACATTGATATTACCTATATCTATAAAAATGTCAAGAAACAAGTTGCACAGATCTTATGAACATTGAAGTTATCTATATCCAAAACAATTTGAAGAAACAAGTTGCACAGCTCTTATAAACATTGAAGTTATCTATATCCATAAAAATTTCAAGAAACAACTTGCACAGCTCTTATGAACATTGAAGTTATCTATATCCAAAACAATTTCAAGAAACAAATTGCACAGCTCTTATGAACATTGAAGTTATCTATATTCATAAAAATTTCAAGAAACAAGTTGCACAGATCATATGAACATTGAAGTTATCTATATCTATAAAAATGTCAAGAAACAAGTTGCACAGATCTTATGAACATTGAAGTTATCTATATCCAAGCGCTAAAACAGTACTTCTAGTAATTTAATTCACTTTGAGATTTTTAACCAATTCAACCCCTCTTGTTTAACTATGTTTTTATATACTTTTTCTAGGTTTTCTTAGTACAGGTGATGAGGCTTCATCCGGGAACTGGGGACTCCTAGATCAACGACTGGCTCTTCAATGGGTTCAAGAAAACATTGGGAATTTTGGAGGCGATCCTACTTCAGTAACACTCTTTGGACAAGGAGCTGGTGCTGCCTCTGTCATATACCATATTATATCTCCAGTTAGCCAAAGTAAGTCTGACATATACCAAATTATATCTCCAGTTAGCCAAAGTAAGTTTGTAATATACCATATCATATCTCCAGTTAGCCAAAGTAGGCCTGCTTCCTCTATTATATACCATATTATATCTCCAATTAGCCAAAGTAAGCATGTATTATACCATATTATATCTCCAGTTAGCCAAAGTAAGTCTATTAGTCTTAATGATTCACGCTAGCTTAGAGTAGTTTACTGTTGATGTGTTGTATAAAAGTTAAATCCTCATCTACTAACATAAAAACAATGAATAAGCTGTATTATTTCGAAGAAATATTTTCCCAGCTGATCTGAAGAAGATATTGAATTTGGTGAAATATTTATCAAGAGTGAAATATCCTGTTTCTGTGGTTACAATTCACTCATTCGCTACGAAATCATTAAAGCGTTACTTATTCAAATCCAAAATGTAACTTATTTCAACAGTAGTCATGTGAACTAACTCACCCCCACCCCAGTGGCACAGCGGTATGTCTGCGGACTTACAACGCTAGAAACCAGGTCTTTCTGCTTAACTACTTCAAACAAACAAACACATGTTTACAATACCTGTTCACAATTACAGTATTCATTCGTGGAATAATGTTGAAAACAACTGCCTGTTCAATGTATCCTCTTCACAACTACGGCATCCAGTCGTGGAATAATGTTGAAAACAACTGCCTGTTCAATGTATCCTCTTCACAACTACGGCATCCAGTCGTGGAATAATGTTGAAAACAAGCAAGTAGCTACACCTCCTGAGGAATCCAAATGACTTCACGTCGGATTGCTTCTTTCAGCATGGCATGGTTAAAGGATTGAACAGCATCCCAGTAAACTTGAAACTAGAGATGACCTCATGACCAACAATCTACCTCCTCTAAGGTAGAGGGGGGGGGGGGGGGGTAGGTCACACTTACAGTCACTGTAGCTGAGATCCAAATGACGTCAGCCTGCTCCAGCCTTTATTTTAATTTGATTAAGTTTCCAACTAATGATACAGTTACGCGCTTGGTTTGTAATATTTTTATTTATTTTCTCATCTTGTCTTCAATATATAGGTAATAATGCTTCCCAATTTTTCACTTTAATTCGTTTTACTGTTTCCCAAACTTCAAATTACAAAGTGACCAGAAGACTTTATGTTCATCCTGCACATTAAAGTTATTTTCCAGATCCAAGCCTTTTCCCAATCTCAATGTTTATAACTTAGATCCTGTGGCAACTGTGAAAAACAAATCTGATAATGTATTTAAAAAAGAAAAAAACAGTTTTGTACCATGTGGTAGTTGTATAGGGTATTTACACGGTTTTTAATACTTCCATATATCTTTGAAAGGGTTTCTCTATCACTCTACACTTCATATGGCTCACCGTTAAACTACAAGGAAATTAGAATTTGGGCTTCGATACCTGTACTGTATATCCCACTGTTCAGCTTCGTAGTTAAACGATACAAATTATCACTTTGCACCTTATTCCCATCTTTTAAAGGTTGTCGAGGTTTCTTCATTAACAGGATCAGGTGTGGGAAGTTAAATTCTTACGCTCTAAGTTGTTCTTTGTTTTGCCTCACCTCTCTAAGTTCTAGGAATTAGCATTACTCAACGCAAACCGTGAGTTAAGACAAACTTAAAGGGCAAAAGAAATCCTCAACCTGCTGGAATTCGCCGCTCTCCAATTTATCTTTCTTTATATCGGCTACTAACAGTCGTTTGTACACTATAATTAAAAGAACCCCCCCTACTGGAGTTTATAAATATTCTGGATTGTCTATCACCAAGCTCTATTTATTGCGTTATGTACCCCAAGATTTCTTATGATTGGGAACAAATATGTCATAAACAAATCAATGAAATTCGAAGAAGTATAATAGACCAAAGGACAGACTTATGTAAATGTATTTTTCTCGTAGCATGTTGTACACGAAAATAGTAAACATCCGCATGGTAAATTAGTTTTATTAAACAATGTTAAGGTGGGTGTGTTTTATTTAATATTTCTAATTTGATAAAACATTTCTTAAGTAAATTACATTTATTAAACATTTCTAAGTTAACTTGTTTTTATTAAAAATTTCTAAGTTAACTTGTTTTTATTAAAAATTTCTAAGTTAACTTGTTTTTATTGAATATTTCTAAACTAAGTTACATTTATTAAACAATTCTAAAGTAGATTGTTTTATTAAACATTTCTAAGGTATGTTGTTTTCATTAAATATTTCTAAGTTAACTTGTTTTATTAAATATTTCTAAGTTAACTTGTTTTTATTAAATATTTCTAAACCAAGTTACATTTATTAAACTTTAACGAAAACAACATACCTTAGAAATGTTTAACAAAAACAACAGAAATGTTTAATAAAAACAACATACCTTAGAAGTGTTTAATGAAAACAAGTTATCTTAGAATTATTTTAATAAAAACAGGTTACCTAAGAAGTGTTTAATGAAAACAAGTTACCATAGAAACTATTTCTATGGTATGTTGTTTTCATTAAACATTTCTAAGGTATGTTGTTTTTATTAAACATTTCTAAGGTATGTTGTTTTTATTAAACATTTCTAAGGTATGTTGTTTTTATTAAACATTTCTAAGGTATGTTGTTTTTATTAAACATTTCTAAGGTATGTTGTTTTTATTAAACATTTCTGTTGTTTTCATTAAACATTTCTAAGGTATGTTGTTTTTATCAAACATTTCTGTTGTTTTCATTAAATATTTCTAAGGTATGTTGTTTTTGTTAAACACTTATAAGGTATGTTGTTTTTGTTACACATTTCTAAGGTGTGTTGTTTTTGTTAAATATTTCTAAGGTATGTTGTTTTTGTTAAACATTTCTAAGGTATGTTGTTTTTATTAAACATTTCTAAGGTATGTTGTTTTCATATTTTAAAGATAAACTGTCCTTGTGACGATATATTTACTATCGACATTATTTAATACTGATGAGATAAATATATTTATCATTCCATAACTAGAAAGAATATATTTTCAACAGGGTTATTTCATCGAGCTATAGCAGAAAGTGGATCAGCTCTATGTCCCTGGGCTTTAGAGCGTGAACCTCTCCAATACGCCCGTGAGGTGGCGCTTCGTTTGAATTGTCCAACTGAGAGTACTTTCCAGTTGGTAGAGTGTATCTCTAGAAAATCTACGGGGGATATACTGAGAGCACAAACGGAAGGAAAAGTATGTTCTTGGATGCTTTGGAAATAATTCATATCAGTTTTTGTTTGTTTGTTGAGTTTCGCGAACAGCTACTCGAGGGTTATCCGCGCTGACCGTCCCTATCAGTTTTTGTTTGTTTGTCGAGTTTCGCGAACAGCTACTCGAGGGTTATCCGCACTGACCGTCCCTAATTTTGAAGTGACAGACTAGAGAGAAGGCAGATAATTAACATCACACCCACGGCTAACTCTTAGGCTATTTCTGTACCAACGAATGATAGGATTGATCGTCACATTATAACGCCCGCAGCAGGCCATGCCAGGCTGCTTTCGAAAGACTAAAATTTGGAATAATTTTATTTCATTATTAATGTATTTCAATTGCCAACAACAAGCTAGAAAAAGGGGAGACGAGAGCTTAGTATTTTTTACGTCTATTACATTCGTGTCTCTCTATTTTTACCAAAGATAAATAAATAATTTAATAATACTACTCATAAAAAAGGGCCTTAATACGCCCAACGTACGATGGGATTGGAATAGAAGGTTTCTTGATAGAGTTGCCGAGAGATATACAGATAACACGGAAAATATAAAAACATTTCTGATATGTAAATAACACTTCCATGACAAACATTTTTCATATGTAAATAACACTCCATGACAAACATTTTTGATATATAAATAACATTCCATGACAAACACTTTTGATATGTAAATAATACTTCCGTGACAAACATTTTTGATATGTAAATAACACTCCATGACAAACATTTTTGTCATGGAGTGTTATTTACATATCAAACACCTGTGATATGTAAATAATACTACCTGACAAACATTTTTGATATGTAAACAACACTCCTTGATAAACATTTTGGATATATAAATAACACTCCGTGACAAACATTTTTGATATGTAAACAACACTCCATGATAAACATTTCTGATATGTAAATAACACTCCATGACAAACACTTTTGATACGTAAACAACACCGTGACAGACACTTTTGATATGTAAACAACACTCCAAGACCTACATTTTTGATATGTAAACAACACTCCATGATAAACTGCTCTACTTACTCAACTATTTAAAAAATACCAAAGAAAACTGGAAAATTTGCCAGAGATCAGAAAGAAAACTAAACGTGGTTCGATCCCTGTGGGGGATACAGCACAGATAGACCATTGTGCAGGTTTGTGCTTAATAATTAACAAAGAAACTAAATTAAATGTGATTACTAAGAATATAAATATTATTTCACTAGTAAGAATATTGTTGGTTACTAATAATACTACTATTATTTAATGAGTGACAATGGCGTTGGTATTTTATTAGTAAGTTCCTACCAACGGCTTCAATGAGATTTCAGTTAAGACAATAGAACTGTTGTACAGTTGACTTTGGTGAGGCTGACTACAGATAGTCGTGTGTTTACTATGTACAGTTGACTTTGGTGAGGCTGACTACAGATAGTCGTGTGTTTACTATGTACAGTTGACTTTGGTGAGGTTGACTACAGATAGTCGTGTGTTTACTATGTACAGTTGACCTCGGTGAGGTTGACTACAGATAGTCGTGTGTTTACTATGTACAGTGGTGAGATTGGATATTGATTGTCATTGGTTTAAAATGTACAATGGTGAGATTGGCTATTGATTGTCATTGGTTTTAAATGTACAATGGTGAGATTGGCTATTGATTGTCATTGGTTTTAAATGTACAATGGTGAGATTGGCTATAGATGATCGTGTATTTAGCGTGCACAATGGTGAGATTGGATACCTTTATATTCTACTGTGTTACCTTTGTATTCTGCTGTTATACCTTTATATTCTGCTTTGTTACCTTGGTATTCTGCTGTTATACCTTTATATTCTACTATGTTACCTTGGTATTCTGCTGTTCTACCTACATATTCTGCTGTTCTACCTACATATTCTGCTGTTCTACCTTTATATTCTGCTGTGCTACCTTTATATTCTACTGTGGATATTCTGCAGTGCGGAGTGGTTTCATTGTTGATTTAGTTGTTATATTTCATGTTCGTGAAGAACACATGGTGAATACCCGATAATATATTTTGTTACCCACGATCACCATAACATATAATGAAGCTATGAAAATTGTTTCCAAGTCATATATCCCCTCTCCACTCCCCAACTAGCTGCGCAGTAAGTCTGAGTGCTTATTGCGCTAGCTGGGGGACATCACCATAACATATAGTGAAGCTATGAAAATTGTTTCCAAGTCATATATCCCCCCTCCACTCCCCAACTAGCTGCGCAGTAAGTCTGAGTGCTTATTGCGCTAGCTGGGGGACAAAGAGTTCATTTTGTAGCCTTGTGCTTAACCACAAACAAACAAGAAATCCAAGTCAAGTGACTATCGCGTTTCATATAACGGAACTGTATGATTTCTACTGATATTTTGTTTTTAAAGTCGTTCATTGGTAATTTTTTTTAATCTAACACCGGTTCTTTTTTCATTCATGTCGATAGATTATTCTAACAGTTAGCAGTTAGGTTGAGAAGATTCTGTAATGATCATCGCTATTCGTAATAAAACAACAACAAAAACACATGAAAATATCGTCTTTGAATGTTGCCCTCTCACCCCACATGCACTTAGCGTGTACCACAGGCATCCACATTGTTCACACACCTGTTGATCTCAATCTCACGTTGTTGTTTTTTTTTGGTTTTCCGAGAAGTTTCCCTCTCTACTGAGCGAGAAAACAATTTGCCGCTTTTGGTAACGAGTGCTTTGTCACGTGTAATTTGTCTGGATAAAGGTCAGACAACAGAAGTAGGAAGTCAGTTCGTTTCTCTGGCACCATCGTGTCTGATTTGTGAGCAGCAGACAAGAACATATTGTGAAATGGTGATGTGACTATACAAACAGTATATGACAAATAAACGTATCGAAGTCAATAAAGGTTCTTTTTTCGTGTTCTGGTTTTCCTTTGACGTTAGTAAAAGGTCAGGGAATGATATGCGAGTTTATTGAGATTTTCAAAAAAGTGTTGAGTAAACCTGAATTTATTTGGTTAATTAAAAGAGGTTGTTCAGATATGGTGCCAGTCGGATGGAAAGGGTAACGTAAATATCAACAGAGGTTGTTCAGATATGGTGCCATTCGGATGGAAAGGGTAACGTAAATATCAACAGAGGTTGTTCAGATATGGTGCCAGTCGGATGGAAAGGGTAACGTAAATATCAACAGAGGTTGTTTAGATATGGTGCCAGTCGGATGGAAAGGGTAACGTAAATATCAACAGAGGTTGTTCAGATATGGTGCCAGTCGGATGGAAAGGGTAACGTAAATATCAACAGAGGTTGTTCAGATATGGTGCCAGTCGGATGGAAAGGGTAACGTAAATATCAACAGAGGTTGTTCAGATATGGTGCCAGTCGGATGGAAAGGGTAACGTAAATATCAAC